GAGATTGTAGAGAAAGTAATACAGGAGGTGGAAAATACAAAAAATATTCTAGCAAAGAAACTGGGTGAATTTGTCTGTTCCCATGAAAAGGAGGCAAAAGAGAAAATGAATGATTTAGAAAACATAGTAAGACAATTTTTTCATAACCCTTAGGTACATGTACAAGGATTCACGATGACATTTCGTTAACACAGAAGATCTTATTTTTATTCTATCAAATACTCATGCAATGAATAGTAATAGTCTGGGGTTTGTTGTCGTCGTATTTCATGATAAATGTTTTTACTATAAACAAGCTAAGGTAATCTTATGCTCGTATAATTTAAATTTGAAACCTCAAAAGATGTGTGCATGGACCATTAAAAACCAAGATTTAACCGATCATAACATACACTTACCTGTAACGAAAAATGCAACCAAATAATAATACCTAATGTGATACATTATGGAATGTAGCACAGAGGTTGAAAATTACCGTAGAGCAAAGTTTTTAGCGAGGAGTTAATTTTCGCAATATTAGAGAGCGTACTGAAATAACTAAATCTGAATATCGCTAAAAACTATTACTTGATATTGTATTTACTTAACTTAGCGGAATTCTTTCGCGATGGAGGTAGGAAAAGTCTGTTGGGTGGGGACAAAACTGCTATTGTACTATGCAAGATCAATCTTTGTAGATTCTAATTACTTTTTGAGATGAGCTAATCCTAAAATGTTACATTTTTACGACATTTTTAGAATATTTTTTAATTAAGCGAGCTCTTCTCATTAACTTTTCATTGACAATCGTCGCATTTTCAAGCTGATAAAATAATCTAAACCTTTCCTTATTTGACAATCTACTATTTGGAGTTCAGTTCTTAGCAATACATTGTACTTTCGACGTTAAATTGTTCAAACCATTCGATTGTCATTTCTGTAAACCATATGCCATGTGTCCCAGTAATCTCGTGAGATTTGAGCTTCTCGACTCCCCCGCAAAAGAGCGGTAGTAAGTTAGATGACGGCGAGGAACACGATATTACGTATTGCGTTTTATTTGTAATAGCTTCTTTGGTGAGCAATTTTAAATCGCTAAAATTCCATCTCGCTAAAAATAAAAAATAAAAAAAAACATGAGGAAAAATAGCTTAATTTGCATCTTGCTAAAATTCTACTTAAACGGTATCGATTTGACACCTCACCTTCCTTAGTATAGGTGAGAAGAGAACACAAAAATGAAATGCATTAAGGTTTCACACTTATAAATTCCAACGAAATAATTTAGATAAGGGTGTAAAGAATCGTCACCTGCATTTAACACGAAAAAAGAAAATATTAATGTTTATAGAATTTACAGACTAGCACAACTATTTGTTTACCAATTATTTCGTGTAATAAACTCATTTGCTCACTCGTTACGTATTTTCATATGTATTGTTTAATATGTTACCTAGCACTGGATTTAGCGGAGTAGAATTTGGAAGAATGATATATGTGAAGATGACAAATAGTATTCAAGATCAAAAGTCCATAAAACAGTTCAGAATCGGAGCAAAGTAAAACAAACTTCCAAAACATCAGAGGTGGGATCAAGTGCCATGGAGGATTGGACATCCCCAGCGGACCGGTCACATTCGCCGTGTGCATCTTTTCATGATCTAATAAATAGCGGAAAAAAATCCGTGGACAAAGTGAGTAAATAATTGCCTAACCATTGATATGAAAAACGCCTGTCAGCATTTGACTTAGTGATTGTAATACATCGTCGATATATCTTAATGTCGAGTTAAAGGACACAACAAGTGTTTTCTTCTTTTCTTGTAAAATATTTTTAACAAAGTCTGCTTCATATAACTACAAAAATTGGTCTGCTAATAACAGGGCGTAATTGGTACCCATGGGTTTTCCAATCGAATGTTCGAAGACCTGGTCTTTATAAACCACATGCATATGGATATTGTCAATAAAATATTTTTTAGTATCAAGTACTTTTACTTGTAATCAGAATATTTTTTAACTAAGTAATTTTGCAAATGACCCATGGCAAAGTGAGTAATTCTACAAGACCCATTTTTATTTAAAAAGCAGCTGTCAATAATGTCAGAAAGCTTGGACTACAATTCATTGTGGGGAATGGTTGTGTATAAAGTTGACATGTAATGAGAATTCATAAACTCCTTGAACTCATAACTACTAAATTGTGGCCCATTATCACTAATCATGATATCTGGAAATCCGTATATGGAAACTATGCATTTCAAAGGAGTTAACACGCACTTAGCGGTAAGCGACTCTAGTTTTGCAAGTTCTGGCAACTTAGATAAATACTACCAGTAAGTAATGGTTTCCACTAAGTTCAGACAGATCCATTCCAATCTTAGATCATGGTCTTGATGGAAGTTTACTTGGGATCATTGGTTCCATAGGATTCGCGCCTGATATTTGACACTAGTTACACATGCACTTACAAGGTTCTCTCTGTCTTTTCCCATACCGTTCCACAAAAGAATGTCTCTCGCTCTGTTTTTGGTTTTCACAATTCCCTGGTGTCCAATATATAACTTTTCTAGCATCTCATTCTCCATCGACTTTGGGACAATCACTTTGTGTGACTTGTAGAGAATACCATCAATACACTGAAGTCTATCACGATAATTCCAATAGGTTCTGGCATCTTCTGACAACATCACTGTCTTGTTTCGATCAAAGTACTCAAGGATTGGTACACTACTAGTCATGCGTTTCAATATCTGGTAGTTTTCTTCCTGTTCATTTTCCAATTTCCAGAGTGTGCTTTTCTCCAGTAACTGTCCTAATGGACTGCCAACTTCTGATAGATTGGGCATAAACTTTCCTAAGTATTGAACAGAGCCCAAAAATCCTTCACATAATTGGGACGGCTCATTTCCTGTAAAGCACGGACTTTTTCAGGATCGGGTTTCAGACCCGAGACAGTTAATCTGTGTCCAATGTAAGTCAGCTCTGAGCGTCTGATCTCATACTTGTCCTCGCTTAGCTTCAAGTTATGTTGTCTTGCTCGATCCATTAAGGCTTTCAAACATCTGTCATGTTCAGCTTCTGTGGTCCCCCATACAATGGCATCATCAATAATCGCTTCTGTACATGTTTCATCGAGATCCTGAATCAATTTCGGATATGGCACGTTGAAACACTTCAGGGCATTCGAGTTAATCGATAACGTCCAAAGGAAGAATGAATTGTGCAGAGTTTTGAACTCTCATCATCTAGTTTGGTCTGCCAAAATCCAGAAGTGGCATCTAATTTGCTGAAAATGTTGGCTCCAAGCATCCTAGCTGCGAACTCTTAGGTGGCGAGGATCAATGCATATCCGGATCTATCCATTCGGCTTCGTAACAGTTACCATGGAGTTGACCCATCTTGTCGGCTCGCGTTGCTTCACAATCACTCCTTCAATTCCATTCCGTGGAGCTGTTCCTTGACCTTGTCCCTCAAGGCTATAAGAATCTTGCGTGGTGGATGTATCACTTGCTGTATGTTTTCAGCCACCTTGATTGAGTATGTACCTGTTAAGCATCCAAGTCCACTGAATAAGTCCTAAAAATCCTGGAGAATGCCATGTGGTACAGTAAGATTTTCCCTTCAATGCTGTGTATTCGCTGAAAGAGTCCTAGCTTGGCACATGTGTCAGCTCCAAGAACAAAATTCACAGTTTGGTCGATAATGTAGAATTTTACATATGGTAGCATTTCATCCTTCCATACACACGGTAGTATAACATACCAGCACAACGAATGTAGTGTCCAAAGAACGACTTCCGTGATGAAAAGGTAAGAGCAACTTTCAGGGTTTTTTTTCTATTTTCGTGAGATCTGCTGATGACAAAACATTACACTTTGCTCCGATGCCAAGTTGGAAGTGAACATTATTGTCATTCACCTTCACCGTATCATACCATCCTACATCATGATTTTCACAATTAATATTCACTGAACCAACAAAGAATTCTTCATCTGATGTATCTACTGCATGCATAGTCTTGTATCTATTGTTTTTCTTTGAACTAGCGACAGCACGCTTTTCGACTGTGTGACACTTAATAGCAAAGTGGTTTGGAATTCCACACTTTCTACATGTTTCACCATATGCATGACAGTGTTTAAACGCATTTGGCCATAATATTTACAGTCTTTCACTATTGATTTTTTACTTTCACTTTCGCGTTTAGTCGATTATGACTTCCGGGTGGGGGATGTCCTGCCTTTCGAGATTCTATGTACTGATTTGTCTTTCATAGACTGTATTTGCTGCTTAGAAATTTCACATGTACGTGCAAAGTTCATAGCTTTTTCCAGGGTCAAATCTGAACCCTCACCAATGCATTTTTCAGATAAAAGATACCACTGAGTCAGACACATCTGTTTCATACTTGATATTTTACATGAAAAAAATGTAAATGGTAATCCAACAAACAAGCTCTATGATAAAAATGATGATACTAACTTTTATATCGGCTACTTCCCTTACTTTTGCAGAAATATACCTTCATCACCTGCATACGGAGTTTATATATCTCATTTGAATCGATACGCAAGAGCATGCTCTACATATGAATAATTTCTAAAAAGAGATAAATTATTGACAAACAAGTGATGAAAGACGAATATCAGCAGTTTCATTTAAAGTCATCATTTCGTAAGTTCTATGGTCTATACAATGAACTTGTCAGCAAAAACAATTTTCATCGAGTCAAACGAATTTTTCCGTTATCTCCCGATCCTGACAAGAAGCACATGGCGGGTGTGACCTATCGCAGGGGATGATAACTCTTTCTTGGCACCTGATCCCACCTCTTATATTTTGGAGGTTATTGTTTGCTCTGCTCCTATTTTGTATTGTTTTTTGGACTTTGAGATTGAATACTGTTCCATATCTCCATATTCTTCATTTGTACTCTTAGAAAAAACCATTTGTGATATTATTTATCATATTTTCATTCATAAACATGAGGATTTTTATCTTTAAAATTTTTCTAACAGGAAAAAGCAGTTGACGGGTTTAAGAAGACTTCAAAAGAGTCTTTCAAAATCTTACATGTATCTGCTGTTATGGAGGGAAGCTCACAAAAACAACGCTTCCTTGTGTCTCTCCAAATAACACAGCTATCTAATCAAACACTACAGAAGATCCTTGAGTTACCACCTGATGTGGTTGCAGGTTACACATATTCTACAGACGAGATTTGTCAGGATGTCGTAAGGCATTTTACCTTCAACGGAGTTAAGCCAACTAGAAAACCGTTAAAAGGGATGCAATCATTATTATATAAGATAGAAAGATCCAAGTCAAACGAAATCCCATGCAAAACTGACCATCAGGAGTCAGAAAAAATGATAAATTCCAAAGAATGCGTGAATTCTGGAAGCAAATCCGAAGATAAAGTCGAGTGGATATGTCATAACACAGAACAAAATTTGAACGAAAAAAGAGATACTGAGACATCACAACAAAGAGAAATTTGCGAAATAAAATGTAAAAACACTAAGAGTGACAACAATGACAGGAATATTTGTTCTAGCAGCTTGGGAACAGACGTAACAACGGAAACATCTGAAGAAATCACAAAATTTGGGACAGGCAGCATTCCAGTTACATACTCAGTGGAAAAACAAATGTTGCTTTGCAAAAACGAAGTAACATATTTGAACAGTGATTCCAATATATATACTGGTACTTGTTCTAGAAGCTATCAGGCAAATCTACGACACTCTACTGAAAAGCGGGGAGACAAAACAGAGGCTAATCATTACCTAGAAAAAGATACAAAACCTTATTGGGAAAGGAATGCACAATTTGGAATGACTGGTAATTATGAGGTTGGTATCAGTGACAATCAAAACAAAAATATGGTGTCATTTTCTAGAGGATATCAAGCGTCAAATGCGTCAATTAGTGAGGGACAAAAGGGATACATAGAAGAGAGTAAGAGAGAAAAGGGGTTTCAGCGACATCTGTCACAGAATATGGGAACACCTTTTAGAGGACATCAAATATTCTATGCATCAAATGCTGACGGCAAAAGGGGCTATACCGAAGAAGATAAGACAAAAGAATGGTTTCAGCAACTTTCAAAACAAGATACGGGAACACCTAGAGGAACAAGTAAATACTTTTAAAATCGATAAAACATATATTGTGGAATTAAATTGCAAACTTAAAGAAAAATGCACGAAGGGAAAGTTGTACATTATTATGAACAAAGTTTCATGAATACGAATTCATTTAAACGGATCATATTTAAAAACATGTACAGAGATGAACTTTTCCCATATTTATATCCGTCGACCTTTCGTATTAGTATATGTTTATTATTAAAGGTACTTTAAATCAGTATAACGATCTAACGAAAATTCGATGGAAAAGCTGAAATCATTCCTTTCGTCAAATAAGTTTTTAAAAAATGAAACTCAAAACATTGTGCTAACAATGCAGGGCATTCACATGGCAAAACATGGAGCTCTCGAAACAAACGAGGGAAGATTAAATATCTAAGCAGTCCTCTGCCGACCAGAAAAAATGGTCTATATCTCACCAAATAACACAGCTTTCTTATCAAACACAAGAGAATATTCTAAAAATTCCATCTGATGAGCCCTCTCTATTGCTTAACTTAACAGGCTATTCTTAAAAATCAGGATAACATTTTTCAGTAAAGAATGACCAAGTCAATGTCCAATATAGAATTCGAGCTGATGCTTTTACTCAGAGTCTTTCAACGATATTGTTTATAAAATTGTCCGTCACCTGTCTTGGTTTAGAGTCTGATTGTTCTGAAATTATCCCTGCCATAACTCTATAATCTAAAAAAAAATAATACGCATTCATAAACAGTTGTTGCACATCATGTTGTTTATTTTATTTGGATATTTCCCAAACAAAAACTTTTCTTAACAAATCATGCCAAAATCACATACAAATCATATCAAACTCATGAATTCGTGGTTTTGAACTATGATTTAGACCTGATCCATTAAATGGATCATACTGAAATCATAGATGACAAATAAGGAAGCATGATCCTGATGTGGTTTGTTTCTGGGGTATGAGTCTGCTGTGATTTTCTTGCGATTCTGGCATGTGCCTTTAACTTAGAAAACAAAGGAACATGAGTTTGAAATGATTCGTTAACTTTAACTGCTAAAAGTTTGTGATTTTGATATGGTTTCTTAACTTTGTCTTTAAACTCCATACGAGTTACACATGATCTGTTAACTTCTCTTTTGAGAATCATGAGTTTTATATGATCTGTTAACTTTGTCAGAATTGGTTGTATGATCCTGATATGGTTTGTTAAATTTGTCATCTATGATAGGTGAAAATGCAAGCTTTAAATTCACTCTAGCTTGGAGAATCAAACAACATGCATACATCAATAATAGCCATATTTAAAATTTTAAGAGAACAGGATTAAAATTAAGTTTAATAATTTAAATGCACACAGCGTATACTGGTAGTTACAAAGACAATCTTTTTTTTTAAGTTGAATGAAATTGCAAATAAATAAATTAATACAATAATTCATAAATAAATTAGCACACAAGTATACTGTTTAAATAACACAGCTAGGATTTTATTAAAATCTTTCTTTCCATATAATATTTGCGATCCACTCCCAATCTAACTTTGAGGCATCAGATTAGGATTGGCTCACTGGTCAGTTTCAGAGTCATAGTAACCTTGTTATGCAATTCTCCTGCCGGGCAGCATGCTGTAGTATAGTGGTTCACAGCTTATCTAGGTTAGAATTTGAATTCTGTTGAACAAGATGTGCACGTTTTCTTGTTGCTGATTTAAAAGAAAAGACTTTGCATCATGAGTCGTTAGCATGATCCCATAGGCTGTTTTTTCTGTTTGGGTTTACAGAGTATGCTTGTATTGTAGTAAATAAAATATAAAAATAACAAAGGGTATTCAAGCTAAACAGTTCATCGAAACGATACAGATTGATAGCAAAGCAAGCGGAGGCTCTAGATCATTTATGCTTTGTTCAGCTACTAGAGAGGATTCATAAATCAGCATTTCGACAGGTTTTACATGTATCCATCTGGATTTTTTTTTAAAGGAAAGATTGTCGTTCTTCGTACATCAACATCAGCGATATCAAAAGAGCAATAACTTAAAAAGAAATAAATACAATTCAAAATATTTACCAAAAATTTATTTTCTTTGTATAAAAAAACTTTCTATGAAACTTCATTATTTTATGACGTTCGTAAGAGTAAATAATAGCAGAGCCCACGTAGTTTTTGAACGGCCTTGTATAATTTGTACGAGGGCTATTCATTAAGGTAGTTCAATTCTCTGCCAGGAAGGGCAACTCTTTAATTTATAATTCAATTCAAAAAGTCTCAATCTTTTGTTTCGAATTGAATATAAAATAACAAAATTTCGTGATCAAATAAACCGATATGAAATTATTTATTAACAAGTCTGAGTTAAAAGATATAAACACTTTCTTTCTTACTATATTCACTTTCAAAATGTAAAGTTACTGGATGCTTGTATGGTTTGCGTTTCTATTTTCCCCTGCTCTCTCCTCTGGAGAAACCCAGAATTCCCGACTGACCGGATATATCATCACGTCACCCAGTCCTATTGGATTCCGTGGTTGTTCCAAGGAATGTAATTCTTACTCAGATTGTAAATCATTTAATTTCAACAGACTCCATTTATTCTGTGAATTATCTTATAAATCACGTGGTGAGGCTGAGTCAAAGAATCAGGGGCATTAAGACCCTAAATATGCCCCAACCATAATGGACAAAAAATTATAGATATCAAAAGAATTATGATTGAATCACACCTTTTCGGACATATTTTGACGAAAAAACCACTTTTAAGACATTTTGGGGTCAATACAAAAATAACACAATTTTCACTGATTTCTGAAAATTTATAATAATTTTTTTTCTGTAAATATAATCAAAGAAATTAAAGATGGATTTTTAATACAAATACAACAGAAATGTTCTTAAACATGTGAATAGAAATTATTTTTAGCTAGAAATGTTTTTTAAAAATGGATTTTAATGTAAAACAGTTGATTTTATGTTCAAAATCAGAGATACCTGGGAACTTAAGATGTCTTTAAATGGACCCCACTCTCAATATGTACTTTACGGTAAAAATATTTTAAATAAAATCCTATTAACTCTATCAGAAACTATAAATGAGAAGAAAAAAAACCTTTATATTATTTTGAATTTACAGAAAATATGTTAATTTTTCAAAGACAAGTACTATTATATGTATTTAACATAAAGAGACTTTGAATGCACAAAGTGAACAAACATGAAATGTATTCAACTAACATTTTTAATAACAATTCATTAAACTTGACAAAAATAACAATAAGGGATTTCAGTTTTTATAAAATCAAAGCAAACACTCTCATACTCACAACTATGAATTGCTAATTCGTTACACAAATGATATGGTCGTGCATTTTAATTAAAATGAATTAATGGATAATATTGAAAACAATTAGAACGCTTACATACAAAAACGTATATACAATGTACTTGGACAAAAAACCAAACTGTTGTAATCCCCAACTAAAACAATATGCTTGTATTACTCTATATTGTAATGTGTATATATGTGATTATTGTTACTAAAACCATAGTGCAAATGGCATGGGTAGCTAGTGGAGTGAAACAAATCGCCGTTAAAGTACACTGCTTTGAATAAACCTCGGTTTGAAAGGGTTTTAGAGAAAAACAGTACGACACCCGCAATTTGTAGAGATAACCTTGTTAATACATCAGGTATCAGATTTCCGGGTGGCTGTGCACACGTCTACCAAAACAGCAGATTAAAATGGCTAGTGAAAAGGAAGTATCAATTGCTGGAAATGTGTTTGATTGTCCAATTTGTTTGGAACAAATGAAAACACTAAAAAACCTTCCATGCTTCCACACTTTTTGTGATGTATGTTTGAATGCGTACATCGAAACCTCGGTGGAATCAACAATCAATGCCTCCAAAATTGATTTCGCGTGTCCGATATGTCGGAAAAGTATAAAACCTCCAAATCAAGATTTACAGGGGAAAGACTGGGCAAAGCATTTTCCTGACAACTATTTAATTTTAACTTTGATGGAAAAATCTGGCGACCACAGTGAAAACTGTGGAGCATGTTGGCGTCAAAACAGAACAAGAAAGTCATCGTTTTGGTGCATCAATTGTGCACATCCTGTCTGTGTTGATTGCAAAAATGTCCATCTTATGTTTAATGCAATAAAGAATCACAGAATTATCACACTTGAAGAGTTTAGAAATCAAGACATTTTCCCTGAAATTGAATACTATTGTGATCAACACAGTAGTAAAACAGTAGAAGTTTTCTGCGTTGATCACACCAAACTTTGTTGTAGTGTTTGTTTTGCAACCAAGCATCGTTCTTGTGTTGATGTCAAATCTTTAGAAGACATTTCGGAAACGCGGAATCCCAAGGAAGATGATATACTGTTAGAGAAGCTTCGTGAACTTATTCAAGACACAAATGAAATGGAAAAGGAATTTCAAAAGTTGAAACAGAATCTTAAGCAAGAGAGTGAATCAACTGTAGAGAAAGTAACACAAGAGGTGGAAAAGACGAAAAATCTCCTCGCCAAAAAACTGGATGAATTTGTCTGTTACCATAAAAAGGAGGCACAAGAGAAAATGAATGATTTAGAAAACATAGTAAGACAATTTTTTCTTAATCTTTAGATACATGTACAAGGATTCACAATGACATTTTGTTATATCTGAAGGTCTCATTTTTATTTTATTAAATACTCTCGCACAGAATAATAATAGCCTGGGGCTTGCTGTTGTCGTATTTCATGATAAATATTCTTTTTATACACAAGCCAAGGTAATCTTATGCTCGTATAATCTGAATTTGAAACCTCAACAGGTGTGTGCATGGACCATTACAAAACAAATTCTAACCGATCATAAAATACACCTTTCTGTAACGTAAAATGCAACATTCAACCTAAAAGATACCTTGTGTTATACATTATGCCATTGGAATGTAGCACAGGAGTTGATAATTACTGAAAAGCAGAATTTTTAGCATGGATTTAATTTTCGCAATATCAGCGAATATCGCTAAAAACTAATTGCGTTTTACTTGTAATAGCTTCTTTAGTGAGCATTTTTAAATAGCTAAAATTACTCCTCGCTGAAAATAAAAAAAAATGAGGAAAAATAGCTAAATTTGCATCTCGCTAAAATTCCACCAATACGGTAAGCATTTGACAGTTCCCTTACTTATTATACGTTAGAATACAAAAATTAAATGTATTAAGGTTCCACACTTATAAATTCTAACGAAATAATTTAGATAAGGGTGAATATAATTGTCAAATAAATTAAGAGATATCCATCTAACATGATCTGGAAAAAACAGAAAAAATCCGTGGACAACTCAATGTGTAAATAATGACCTAGCAATTATTATGAAAAACGGCTGTCAGCATTAGACTTAATTATACCCCCCGCAAACGAAGTTTGGGGGGTATATAGGAATCACCTTGTCCGTCTGTCCGTCTGTCTAGCTGTCCGTCTGTCTGTGCAATCGTGTCCGGTCCATATCTTTCTTACAGAGGGACATTAGAATCTACTACTCCACACAAAGATTGCCCATGAACTAAGGGTGTGTTATGACCGTGAGCCAAGGTCATTTGGGGAACTTTAAGGTCATTAGAAGAAAAATTTTATAATTCGTATCTTCCTAAAGGATAATCTTGGTAGGTTTTTATTTCACACAAAGATTGCCCATGACTTAAGAATTTGTCATGATCTTGACCCAAGGTCATTTGGGGAAGTTCAAGGTCACTGGAAGTAAAATTTCATAATTTGTGTCCGGTCCATATCTTTCTTATGGATAAATTTGGTAGGTTCTCATTTCACACAAAGATTGTCCATGACCCAAGGGTTTGTCATGACCTTGAGCCCAAGGTCATTTGAGAAAGTTCAAGGTCACTGGAAGAAAAATTTCACAATTCGTGTACGTTTGATATCCTTCTTATGGATAAACTTGGTAGGTGGTCATTTTACACAAAGATTGCCCATGACGTAAGGGTGTGTTATGACTTTGAGCCAAGCCCATTTGGGAAACTTCAAGGTCACTGGAAGAAAAATTTCATAATTCGTGTCTGGTCCATATCTTTCTTATGGATAAACTTGGTAGGTTCTCATTTCACACAAAGATTGACAATGACCCAAGGGTGTGTCATGACCTTGACCCAAGGTCATTTAGGGAAGTTCAAGGTCACTGGAAGAAAAATTTTATAATTCGTGTGTGGTCCATATCTTCCTAAAGGATAATCTTGGTAGGTTTTTATTTCACACAAAGATTTCCCATGACCTAAGGGTGTGTCATGACCTTGACCCAAGGTCATTTGGGGAAGTTGAAGGTCACTGGAAGTGAAATTTCATTATTCATGTTTGATACATATCTTTATTATGGAAAAAACTTCTGAAAAACCCAGCGGGGGGGGGGGGGGATTTTGTCCCGTTTGGACAGTTCTAGTTATTAATTGAAATTCGTCGTATATATACATCTTAATGTCGAGTAAAAGGCCACAACAAGTGTTTTCTTCTTTTCTGGTAAAATAGTTTAAACAAAGTCTGCTTCATATAAATACAAAAAAAGGTCTGCTAATAACGGAGCGTAATTGGTACCCATGGGTTTTCCAATCTATTGTTGGAAGACCTGGTCTTTAGAAACCACGTGGATATAGTCAATCAAAAACGCTTTTAGTAGCAAGTACTTTTACAAGTAATCAGAATATTTTTTAACAAAGTAATTTTGCAAATGACCAATGTCAAGGTAAGTAAATTTACGAGGCCCATTTTTATTGAGCGCTAAGCGCAGCGCAAAGCGCATTCTGTCGTCGTAAATCTACTTCCATTCGCGATCCAGCACCACTATATAAGCAAGTTAGATAACTCCACTGGTTTTTCTAAAAATATGCAACTGGACATCCCCAACTATCTTTCGGCAATTCTAATAATAGGAGTCAATAAGTAGGTAAAAATATCATGTACATTGTACGGCCATCCACTGTTAGTAGATAAGGGCGGTTCATGTCATGCCTTTCTGTATATACACTGTTGTTGAACAATTCATTTTAAATCGTGTCGGTACTGAATGTTAAGTGTTTAAAATGTATGATTTACAGCTGTAGCATATTCAAAACAAAATGTAACATATAGTCTAACTTTTAGTTATCAATTATAAATAGTGCATGGACGCTCGAAGCGATTTTATAAATATCTCACACACTCCATTAATGTATTTTTTGTGAAATCTTTTCTATAAAATCGTAAATTTATAAATCGCTTCTGAATATGTAAAAAAAAGTTAGTGAGAATATTTCTGAGATGTTTTATTCATAATTCTTATAAATAATTATGTTGTCAATAAGAATTTTTTCATCGACGCAATAAACAAATACTTCAATTCAATTGTAACTTTCGTACTCGTACAGTGTAAAATCGGAATGAATTTGTTGTTTAAAAAATATCACCAGAACATTTTAGCTGAGAGGAAATTCAGCGACATTTTCAAATGTTCAAAATTATATAGAAATATATAGTCATGTACATTTTCCAGCAAATGTATAGCTACATTTATAGTCTAAAGGTCACAAAACTCGTCGACTATCCCCCTCCAATAAATTGCGAATTATACTCAAATATACATCTCTTAGACTCCTATAAGGCGATGGATAAAGAAAATATTTTTAAGTTTTTTTTTTCTTTTTTATATTAGGTTGGGAAAATACATGGCTGTTTGGACTAGATATCTGCCATAAAAATGTGTACATATTTTTGTTTTTGTTTGTTTGTTTTTGTTTTGTTTTTTTTTTATAGAAAAAGGAGAAATATTTTTCTGCGATTTTATGTATATAAAATTGATTGATCTTTGACAGAAGAAGAAAATGTAAAATGCTTTAAATAAAAAGGCATAAGACAATGTTGAAATTATATCCCAACGGGTAGATTCACATGTTTGATTATGAATCAAACAACTGTGCTCGTCCTAGTGCAGCCGCACTCTCAAGATACTGCTTCAATTCCAATACAACAGGCAATTTAGATTAAATAAAATCTGATGATTCTAAATTGCAATGTGCTTAGCGCTTCCCAGTACTTTCAGTACTTTAATTGAAAAAGCAGCTGTCAATAATATCGGAGGCCTGGACTTCAATTCCCTGTGTGGAATGGATGTGTATAGTTGAAAAGTCGTCAGCGTTTAAATAAATACAGTCAATAAACTCGAAATTCCTTGGTTAGAGAGAGGCTCTGATTAAATCGTGCTACAAAAATAAATCAATTTTTTTCTGCTAGAAGCAGTGTTTTATATCTTCAACTCATAACCAATATTTTATCATTCTTTTTATTACCTCACCTAAGCCGAAGGCTCAAGTGAGCTTCTCTGATCAAAATTTGTCCATTGTCTGTCGTCGTTGTCGTTGTCTCGTAAACTTTTCATATTTTCATCTTCTTCTCAAGAACCACTGGGCCAATTTCAGCCAAACTTGCTATAAAGTATCCTTGGGTAAATGGGATTCAAGTTGGCTACGGCCTTTTCCAAGGGAGATACTTATGAATTTGAGAAAAATTAATGCTATCTTTAAAAAATCTTCTTCTCAAGAACCACTGGGCCAGGTAAGATAAAACTCATGTGGAATCATCCTCAGGTAGTGTAGATTCAAATTCATTCAAATCATGACCCCCAGGTGTAGAGTGGGGCCAAAATGGCCGATCAAAGCTTTACATAGGAGTATATAGGAAAAATCTTTTAAAATCTTCTTCTCAAGATTCACAGGTCCAGGAAAGATGAAACTCATGTGGAATCATCCTCAGATAGTGTAGATTCAAGGTTGTTCGAATCATGACCCCCTGGGGTAGGGTGGGGCCAAAATGGCTGATCAAAGTTTTACATAGGAAATATAGGAAAAATCTTTAAAAATCTTCTTCTCAAGAACCACTGGGACAGGAAAGATGAAACTCATACGGATTCATCTTCAGATAGTGTAGATTCAAGTTTTTTTTTTTCAAATCATGACTCCCGGGGGTAGGGTGTGGTCAAAATGGCTGATCAAAGCTTTACCTAGGAGTATATAGGGAAAAACTTTAAAAATCTTCTTCTCAAGAACCATTTACACAGGAAAAATGAAACTCATGTGAAATTATCCTCAGGTAGTGTAGACTCAAGTTTGTTCAAATCATTACCCCCGGGGGTAGGGTGGGGCCAAAATGGCCGAATAAAAATTAATTCTCATGAGAATATATAGGGAAACCTTTGAAAATCTTCTTTTCAAGTACTTCAAAGCCATGATTAGTAATATTTATGTAGAATTATCCTCAGGTAGTGTAGATTCAAGTTTGTCCAAATCATGATATGTGCTTTTTCCTAGCTGATGTGCTCAGGTGAGCGCTGTGGCCCTTGGGCCTTTTGTTTGAGCTTGAGATAAAAGATACCACAGAGTCTGACACATCTGACACATCTATTTCATAATTGATATTTAACTGGAAAAAGATGTTAATGGTAATCTAACAACCAAGCTCTGTAATAAACGTGATGACTTTAACTTTTCAATCGTCAACTCCCCTTACTAATGCAGCATTATACCTTCATCAAATGCATACGGAGTTTATATATGTCAATTGATTCGAAACGC